AATGCCATTTACATCCTAAGGACATTGTCAGAAAGAGCTATAGAAGTAAAGACTGATTTGTACTTATGCTTCATAGACTATACAAAAGCATTTGACTGCGTGAAGCATGAAGAAGTAATCAAACTGTTAGAAAAATTAAACATTGATGGGAAAGATCTACAAATAATAAAGAATATGTATTGGCAGCAAACAGCAGCTATAAGAATAAACAACTGTTTAGGTACATTTCAAAGCATAAAGAGGGGCGTACGACAAGGATGTGTAATGTCACCTGATTTGTTTTCAATATACAGTGAATATATAATGAGATCTTTAATTGATATGCCCGGAATTGTGGTTGGTGGGCACAATATAAACAATTTACGTTATGCTGATGACACAGTCTTGATAGCAACAAGTCAGAAAGAATTACAGGAAATGATAGACATTGTGGTGTTAGAAAGTGGAAGAATGGGCCTCAGTTTGAATAATGGGAAGACAGAAGTAATGGTGGTATCAAAGAAACAAATTATTCCTAAATGTGTAATAAAAGTCAATGGTGTTATTTTAGGACAAGTACAGAAATTTAAGTATCTGGGCACATGGATAACATCAGATGAAAGGTGCATAACTGAAATGAGAAACAGAATTGGACAGGCAAAAACTGCATTTTATAAAATGAAAAACATCTTGTGCAATATATCCTTGTCATTGAGAGTTAGAAAAAGAATTATTGCTTGCTACTTACATCCAGTTTTAACATATGGATGTGAATCCTGGACAATCGGTAGGCAGGCCAAACAATTTTTAGAGGCCTCAGAGATGTGGTTTTACAGAAGAATGCTTAGAATACCTTGGACAGCCTAAAAGAGCAACCAAGAGGTTTTGAAAGAGGCGGGAGCCCAAAGACAACTTTCACAGACATCAGAAGGAGACAGTCATCATTTTTCGGCCATGTTATGAGAAGAGGGAAAATAGAACATGTTGTGACCACTGGAAAGATCTGCGGAAAAAGGGATAGCGGAAGACAACGAGAGAAGATGCTTGACAGTCTTGTTGCATGGCATGGAGGTGTGTCGGCACCCGAACTGATACATGCTGCAGGAGATCGCAGATTATGGAGAGGCATGATCGCCCACGCCAGTCGGCAAGGCCCCTGATGATGATTATTATTAATCAATCAAAAATCAAAGAAATTCATCGCTTTAAGAAAATAGCTGCACCTATGCAATTGTGAATTATGAAATCACTAGATTTTAATTGCCCGACTTCGCACGGGATCTTAAAAAAAAGTTTAATTTTCCAGTCTTCTGCCTCATCTTGATCTCGTGAGGCTTCGGTGGAAATAACAGCGAAATATAATTTTGAAAAATTAACTTTCTATGGGAGTAATAGGAGACAAATTCAAAGGAATATAACGCCAGGAATTTTTTCCACTGCTTGTTATAATAAATAAAAGAACTGCAAGATAACCTGGCTGTCAGTATGACTGTTAAATTAAACTTTGTAGCCATAATCGCAGTTGAAAACTTTAGCCATGCGTTCGCGGTTTCGGAGAAGTTAACAGTTCATTTAAAATAAACACACGAAATACAGAAAGGGGTTTGTGAATTTTAGTTTATATAAGGACATGGGTGGGAAACCTTAGACAACATGCACAAAACATCGTAGTGATCTATACATTTAGGTATTTGTTACAGTTTTAGGGCACTTTTGGAACAGACTATATTAGCAAATTCCCAGAATTACCAGAGAAGTTGAAAAATAGCCTGAATATTGTCTAATAGAAAGGAGGCGACAAGAAGGGGATCTTTCCTTCCTAGACTGTGGAGGTTTAACTTTCCACCCCAACGGCAGTATGTTCTGTTGGAATACCATTACCCTAAAGGTATGAAGTAAAAGAACCGTTTTCACACATTTAGTGTTTGGGCGTATAGGGCTGGACCTGTATTTTTAAAGACCAAATGGTAAACATCACGTATTATTTGCCTTTTCCCTCTCGTATGTGTTGTTGTAAAGGTAAAGTAGGATCATCATCGTCATCATCATCATCACCATCGTCATCATCATCACCATCGTCATCCAATTTTATCATCTAGCGTCGCGGGAGGATTAGTTTGTAGTTAATGACTCGATGAATAACACAGCCTATTTTCAGTCTTTGTCATTGTCAGTTCCGGACACCAAAAACGCCAGTGACATCAGGCGTACGTGACTGGACTGACACTTTTAAATAGATCAGTCTGCACTAAAGAGGCTATGTTACAATTTCGACTGCCGCCTGTACTTCCCAGGACTTTGCCTGATATCCATTTTAGGCCTGGTCGACCTCGGAGCCTAGGCCGTTATACAAAATTTCACTGGATGCGGATTCTGACACTAAGTCTTTGGGCCTGTGTGATTTTGAAATTTCTGTTAATGCCGGCAATCCGTATTCTTTATCTTGTGTCATATATTAGATGTAGGGAATGTGCAGCTAATGCTGCTACATTCTGACGAGATGATTAGACTGTTTGGTCTTCTATTTCCTAATGTATCTGGCACAAGTTGTTGTTTCTACAGTCTGCTTGCACTCCGTCTCGGGTGGTTACATTTGTTGCTTTCAAGGTTTTCTAAGCTCGCTAGAGATTACTATGAAAATGTCAAGCTTAGCACTGTATTTAACTGAAAGGGGCTTAAAACTTGTTAAACTGCGCAATAATAATAAAAATATTATTATTATTATTGTTTGTTGAGTGGCTAATAAATATAATATATTCAAAATAATATGAAATATATGATAAATGCTCAAAAAGGAGACAATCTATACATGGTTTGCTTCCTAAACATATGGAATAATAATTGGGTGGGGGAGGGGGATAGACGGATGGGGACCCCAAGGTGCTTTAGCGCCCAGGTTTCGTCGCTAATGCTTGTTCACCTCACTTCATAAATCAGTTAACTAGTCATCGTGAAGTGCGTCACCCATACTGGAACATCCACTGCACCATTACATTTATCCTACCAACGCCCTCTGCAACAGAAATATCGGAACCCCGAGTTATCTTCTCACTTCAAGACCGGTAATCTAAACCTCCCACTAGCTGGAGCGAAAGTGAAGGAGCTGCTAAAAGGTGCGAACAAGAGATGCTTTCAGCCAATAGCGTCGAGAGACACCCCGACGCCCTATCTCTCAGCCACGCCTAAAGCGCGAGTTTGCCAAATAACTTTGCTGTCCCCCCCCCCCCCCCCCCCCCCCTTCCCATCCGGGCCACCTCCGTATTTTTATTTTTTAAAGTACATCGCGTCCTTGTCCTATTTTAGCCAGTGACATTGCCAACCGTTTCTAGCGGAAATATTCCGCAGGCTGACAAGGGTGTCCGATCTATCTATCTATCTATCTATCTATCTATCTATCTATCTATCTATCTATCTATCTATCTATCTATCTATCTATCTATCTATCTATCTATCTATCTATCTATCTATCTATCTATCTATCTATCTATCTATCTATCTATCTATCTATCTATCTATCTATCTATCTATCTATCTATCTATCTATCTATCTATCTATCTATCTATCTCTCTCTCTCTCTCTCTCTCTCTCTCTCTCTCTCTCTCTCTCTCTCTCTCTCTCTCTCTCTCTCTCTCTCTCTCTCTGTCTGTCTGTCTGTCTGTCTGTCTGTCTGTCTGTCTGTCTGTCTGTCTGTCTGTCTGTCTGTCTGTCTGTCTGTCTGTCTGTCTGTCTGTCTGTCTGTCTGTCTGTCTGTCTGTCTGTCTGTCTGTCTGTCTGTCTGTCTGATCTATCTGTCTGTCTGTCTGTCTGATCTGTCTGTCTGTCTGATCTATCTGTCTGTCTGTCTGATCTATCTGTCTGTCTGTCTGTCTGATCTATCTGATCTATCTATGCACTGTCCGTCCGTCCGTTTACTAATTTACGTATCTACGTATGTAATTTAATAGATCTCGTTCATTCCCATCACAATTCTCCTTTTCCAGTATATGCTTGTACATTTCATATTTCAAATACCTTGATTTTCTCCATTCTTTATAGATATCCCTCACCCCTCGTGTTTTGTTTGAATCGGCACGCATGCTTGCAACATTAAAGCTCACTGGTTTACGCCTTTACCTGTTTGCCCCAGGGTGATGTGTTCGAATCGCCTTCAGGCAGAGATGACCGATCCCCTGTCGCAGTCTAAAATGGGCACTATGGAACCACCTGGGAAGTGACAATGTTTAATGATTTCCTAATAAAAAAATCCGCCCCATTTACCCATTACAATTCAGTGTATGAAAAATTGTTATTTACTTTACCTGTCTGACTACTTACCCAGGGATGATGCTGTCTGCCTGTCCGCTTAGTTACTTTGGGCAGACAAGTCCATGAGGCGGCAAAGCTGGTAAAGGATCGATGATGATCTTCTTCTGCTGTGTTGGGAGCGACGTTCTGTGAAAGACTTGCTACAGGATGATGACCCGCTAAGTTATCCAAGACTGTTAATTAAGATATTTGTTCGCAGCTGTCTCCTCGCATACCCATCTGCATTCATTCAGGTCTTTGTGTTGTATTCATCTACTTAGTTTAGCTACCTGCCTGTCACACTACAAAGGTAAAATAGACCCACCCTCCCCCTTTTTTTAAGCTAGTGGCGTAAAAAAAGGACCATTTCCCACGACTTTCAGGCGTATTTGTATATAGGGCTAGACCTATATTTTATAGATCAGACGGCACTTTGTGGGTGATGTAGTCAGCATCACGCCGACCGCCTTTACTTCACGTGACTGTACCTGGTACCCACTCAAGGCTGGTCGACATGGAAGCCAAAGGTCATTTTTGAAAAAGTCCGGTCCCTGTCAAGACCCGACCCCACGACCTTCTGATCCGCAGTCGAGCATCTAGCCGCTAGAACACGCCCCCCCCCCTTCCCCCACCTCATGAGAAAATAAATAATTCTCCGGAAACTTCATAGGGACTATCACTAATACTATTTTATCACTGAGTGTGACACCTGGTTCTACTGTTGTTATGATTTCAGTTATCCAAAGAATCCTCAATACGATTCCAGCGCAAGCGGACAAGACTTATGGCCAAAACTCGCAAACGGGTGTTGCCACAGACAAGAGGCAACAATACCGTCTACAGCTGGGTGCAGAAACGTTATGGGGCAGTCACCTCCTACAGCGAAATCTCAGATCTTGTCATTAAATTCTACATTGGCAGGGGTAAGTTTCATTTGCAGTTAAAATCTGCGGTTTTCCTAACTTTCACTGGCTACAATCGACTCCGGGGTCTCTAGTTAATGGACATGACCTGGTCGTGAACAGTCTGTCACAGAAGTCACACTGTTTTGAAACTCTACACTCAGGCACAACCATATTTGACCTTCATTTACCAACAACTTTCTAGAGTTTCACCCCTTAACTGATTAAAAAAAAAAAGTCTGGATTTTTAGTATAGTTCCTCCAGCCTGGAGGAAGTCTGAAATCTTCGTAATCCTGAAACAAGGAAAGCCGAAGAACAACGCAGACAGCTACAGACCCATCAGCCTCACTAGCTGTCTGTGCAAACTATTTGAAAGATTATTGAACAACCGACTGACCTGGTTCCTAGAGAAAAACTTCAAACTAATGGAGGAACAGGCAGGTTTTCGACGTTGCAGATCAACATAAGACCAAATTACATTTATTGCTCAACACATTGAAGATGCATTCCAGGAAAAAAAGCACACCATTGCAGTCTGGGTGGATATGGAAAAGGCCTTCGACAAAGTGTGGAAAAATGGGCTGAAACAAAAGCTACTTGAAAGTGGAATATCCCATCACATGCTTGGGTGGATCGTAAAATATCTTGAAAATCGATCTGCAAGAGTCAAGATACAGGGTTCAAGGAGCAGATCAGTCTCAATGACACATGGAGTTCCACAAGGCGGAGTTCTGTCCCCAATTCTTTTCCTAGTTTACATTAACGACATAAAATCAACCCTCTGTAATGGAGTTCAAGCCGTTATGTATGCCGATGATCTGGCTCTACTGAGTTCAGAGGAGGACACTGAAAAAGCACAGACAAGGCTTCAAGAATCCCTTGGAACTCTAGAGAGGTGGTCCAATAGCTGGTACATGCCTGGAAATGGGGCCAAAACCACACACACCATTTTCAGTCTCTCTACCAAACCCCAGAAAGTTTCACTTAGATATGGCAGCCAGGCACTGATACATGATGACTCATATTTAGGAGTAACCTTTGACTCAAGACTCACATGGAGAAAACAGATAGAAAAGACACAGAGCAAGGGACTCAAGAGAACACAACTGATGAGGAAGTTAGCTGGAACAGACTGGGGGGCAAACCTCAATGTCCTTAAGAGGACCTATACAGGCTATGTGAGGCCAACACTAGAATATGGAATAGCTGCTTGGGGCACAGCAGCTAAATCAAATTTTCAGAAAGTCTCAAAGATCCAAAACCATGCTCTCCGTATTATGACAGGGGCAATGCGCTCCACGCCCATATCAGATATGGAAACGATTACTGGTCTCCATAATCTGGAAGATAGGAGAGACACAAAGATCCTCACCCAGCTCTCCAAATACCACCACTTTCAAGAACAACCCATGTACAGCCGACTGCAGAAACCCCAGAAGGCTAGGCTAAAGAGAACTTGCTTTATTAAGAACGCAAATGCCAAGCTCGCTGTCCTTAAACTTCCACCCATAATACCAAATGTTCCACTTAAACCTTACAACGACTGCCCCGCTTGGCTTAGGGATAGCCTACCAACAGTCAGAACCACTGTAACAGGGGTCTCCTCCAAATCATCAATGAGCAGCACTGATATGAAATCAACTACAGAACGAGAGATCAATAGACTTTACCCACACCAGAGTTGGATTCGAGTGTATACAGATGGTTCAGCCAAGAGAGCAGTAAGAGACGGAGGAGAAGGAATATACATAGAATGCCCAAATGGTTTTAAAATCAACCAGGCTGTACCAACAGGTTCATATTCCTCCAATTACAGAGCAGAGGCAGAAGCACTTCTAGCGGCATGTTCTTTCCTGAATGGACAACAGCACAGCAAATATAGCAGAGTGGTCTTTCTGACTGATGCTATGTCAGTTCTACAAGCAATTGTTAACCCAAAAGACACTCAGTTTGTAGACTTGACGCAACAGCTGATTTACTTAGGCTCTTCAGTAGAACAATCTGTACTGCAGTGGATTCCAGGTCACTGTGGCTTGGAAGGCAATGAAATAGCGGACAGATTGGCCAGAAGCAACAGTGACATGGTACAACCAAATAGCGACTTAACCCACCAAGAGATGAAAACACTAATACAATCTAGTATCCAAGAAAGGTGGCTGGATACCCACAACAGATTTTCTCCCCAAGACTCACTTCATCGCCTCTCTAGAGAGGGACAGTCTATTATATTCAGACTAAGGACTGGGCACAACAGATTTCGTCAACATATGTTCAAATTTTTCGGTGTAGAAAATACGGAGACGTGTCCCTGCATCGTGGCACCCGAAAATGCTGAGCATGTGCTCCAACACTGTCAACTGTATGCTGACAACAGAGACACAATCTGGCCTGTTCCAACCACAATGAAGACAAAACTGTATGGTACACGAGAGGATATGGATTGCACGATAGCTTTCATAAAGGCTACCGGCCTCCTTATATAAGTTTTCTGACAGAAGGATCGAAGAAGAAGAAGAAGAATGCTGCTCTTCTTTGGTGCATGTCAAAAATGGGTTGATCATCTTTAAACTGTCATTAGGACGTGACTGTGTTCGTTTGTATGGTGGTGTTACATGCTTAACACTCTTGACATCCTTAACAACAATATTGACAGGTTACTAGGTTATTGTAATTTATTTTCACACTTGAAGATTTTCATTTGCAGTCCCCTAATACGTGCGGATAGGGTTAAGCTTTTTGCCTCAAGCTGTGAAGCTTGTGTGTTTGGTTTGGGACTCTGTCCTTTGGTAAGCAAGTGCTGGTGTTTCTGCAAACTCTGGGTATCATTGCAGGAGCTGTGGAGTTTCATACTTGTTATTATGTCTTCAACTGGCAAACAGCCTCTCTGTAGAGAGCCATGTTTAAGTACTTGGGTGCCCTAATAACATCAGCTGGAGGATATTAATGAAGCTAAATGTAGAAAAGCTCAAGCAAAGGCAGCATTTTTTTTTTTTTTTTTTTTTTTTTTTTTTTTTTTTTTTTTTTTTTTTTTTTTTTTACAAAATAAAGATATTTTATGGAATTTTTCTTTTGTCAGTTAAGATAAAAAAGAAATTCTTAAAAGGTATATAAATCCTATCCTTGTAAGCGAAAGTAAATGATGGACAGGTTGTAAAGTAGTGAAAAATTATTTGGAAGCTGCAGAGATGTGGTTTTTATAGACGAATGATTAGAATGCCTTGGACTGATAAACAGAGTAATGAAGGTGTCTTGAAAAAAAAAAAGCTGACTCATGAAGAGAACTGATGTCCCACTTCAGAAAGAGACAATCATGTGATGCGAAGGAGACAGCTAGAGTATATAGTGACAGTAGGAAAGTTGCAGGGAAGGAGAGGCAGATGGAGACCAAGAGAACAGATGCTGGAAGTTTGACATCCTCTCAGGATCATCTCTGTCAGAGTCGATTAAAAAGTACACAGATACAAAAGTTTGTGAATAGACATAACTACCACATCAGAATGACAGTAGAGCTAATGACAACTGTGGATAAGCAGGGTTGTCTCACTGACTTAGTCCACTCAGAGCATAACACAATGTGTATGCAGTGAGGTCAACAATAGGGAAACACTATCCCTTACTATCATATGGAGAAATACTTTTTTCCCCTTCTTATTTTGCATTTGTCCTTAAAAAGGCAGTTGGCGCATTGTGTTGTGGTTTACAGCTAGGTTGTGATAGCTTTGCCTGTTAGTGCAACATTCAGCAGACCCTTTGCTGGGATTTGTTTGGTTTTCTCCCAAAGCTCAACATGAGTGGTTCTGTTATACTATTTAATTTCTTATATTCTGCACAGGCACACTTTAAAGAATGTGTTTAGTTTATTTGTAATTGTTTTGGTTGTTCTCCAAGTTTCCGCTTCATACAGCAGTACTAACATAGGAATTAGGAATTTTAATCTCAAGTTTAGCCTTAGTTTTAATTTCCTTTGACTTTCACAGATGTCCTAATGTTATGATGTCTCTAAATCATTCCAGATGTCAGTGCAAATACCAGCTGTGACCTGACTGCTTTGAGTCCAAGTATTCGTCTGTTCTCCTACCAAGAGGCGGTGAAGCCAATTACTGGCTGTGTCTCCAAGAGAAGAAATCACCATGTTCGCGCTAAGTGAGCCCCTAACATTTCAATGGTTGATGTTTGTTGTCCGTTCTTTATATGAATCATAGCAATCTTTCCCCATTGTAAATTTGAACAAAGAAGACATAGAGAATAGATTGCACAATTTATTGCCTGGCATCTTTCTTCTCATCTCTTCAGGTGCATGCACAATCTATTGCCAGGCATATTTCACAGTCTCATCAGGTGCATACTACAATAACAATTAAATAAATGAAGTGGATAAGTGAATCCTTTATAACTGAAGTACAGATTTCAACTATACTCAAAAGCAGCTGCTAGTTTTATCATGTCTTTCTGTTTTCAAAGTTCAGGATGCAGATAACGAAAGGTGGTGGCTTCAAGAAATCTTAGTGTTCTGCCATTGGACGATGTATGAAAGATTTGAAATGCATTGTTCTTAATTCTGTGTTTTGTCGATCACTTCTGGGATCACTTCCATCCAGTCCCCACCTATTTAGGAATCAGTGTCTCCGTGCAGCAAATCCAGTTGCAGTTTTCAGTTTGTATGACCCGGTTAAATGTATTGGTGTTATAGAGAGACATCTTGGAAACACAGTAACCTAACATATGTTAACTCTTTCAGGTCCATAAATTTTGACAGACAGATTTTTTAAAAAGAGGAATTAATGTATATTTTGAACATTGATTCTTAAAGCGCATTATTTACCTCATTTTGTATAGTTGAATGTGACTCATTTTGTGTTGTTGTATGCACCTCATTTTGTATTGTATTGTCTTTTGAACATTGATTCTTAAAGCAAATTATTTACCTCATTTTGTATTTGTTGTATGTGACTCATTTTGTAATGTTGTATCATCTTTTGTACATTGATTCTTAAAGCGCATTAATTAACGATTTTATATTGTTGCTTTATCTTTTGAATGTTGACTCGAAGAGTTGATGACATACCTCATTGTGTATTGTTACCTTTCACATCATCAGACCTGTCTACATCATTGAGCTCCTAGAACCACCAGACCCCTCACCTGGTATGGTCGGAGTTGATCTGGAGATCTTGCCTTATTACAACGGAATGAGCATGCGGTCAAGAGGCCAGAGTTTGGACACTGAAAAAGACTGGCACTTCTACTTGGTGGTGAAGTCACCTCCTAGTCTCCGCTGGACCCTGCACTCAAAGAAGGTTTCTGGATGGGTGGACATAGTGGTCAGTATAAATTGATTCCCTTGATAGCCTGGCTGAGAGATATCCATCCATGTACGTAAAAATCCAGCACCATTTCAACGCCAGTGGCACCGGGTAAATGATGCCGTACATTTATTATAGACTAGTCGGCACTGATGGCAGTCGCCCTGGAGTAATGGCTAAACACTCGCGTGTGGATCGGAAGGTCGTGGGTTCGCTCCCTGGCGGAACCGGACTTTTTATTTTCAAAAATGACCTTGACTCCCAGGTGGAACCAGTCTTAAGTGGGTACCGGGTGCAGTCCCGAGAAGTAAAGGTGGCCAGCGTGATACAATTTAGGTCTAGACCTATATGTCCTATATACCTAAAGGTGGGGAAAATGGACCTTTACTTTTTTTAAATTTTAGTTGGCACTAATAATGTGGTCAGCCTCATACTTGCCACCTTTACTTCCCATAACATTACCTGGTACTCTTTTTAGGCTGGGTTAACTTGGAAGTCAATGTCAGTTGTGAGCAGATTTGAACTACACTCCACTACTGTGGGTCCCATATATATCCATAAAATATATAATATCTTGGTCTTGTAATGTTTAAATAGTTATAGCATAACTCACATGATGTTTTATCTTTTATCATTGATCCACATTTTGTATATTTAATAGTTTCATATTCCCCGTGGCTACATACGGTTGTGAGTCGTGGACTATCTCTCAGTCCTTAAGAAAGAGAATAGGGGCTTTTGAGCTGAAATGCTATAGAAAGATTCTCAGAATATCTTGGACAAAGAAGATGAGAAATATTGACATCTTAAAAGATCTGAACATCAAGGAAGATTGGCTAATAAACAGCATCCTTTCACGAAAGCTGAAATATTTTGGTCATATCAAGCGCCACGACGGATTGGAAAAAATTATAGCAGAAGGCATGGTACCAGGAAGGAGGGGCAGGGGCCAACCAACACGAAGATGGGCACAGGATATAAGTGACTCCTTGAATGAGGCAGGAGAACTGGCGAGAGACAGAGTTTCTTACAGGCAGACTGTGATGAGAGCGACGTTCTGCAAAGGACCTGCTACATGATGATGATGAATAGTTTCATAATGCATTTAATGCTTAATCAAGTTAAAGGTTAAAGTCGAGAGGATCGACTTTATTGCACACAGTTGTGTCCCATATGGCGTGGTCTATGTCCACAGAAAAGCTGGCAGCTGCCGGCCAAGAGCCTCGCACAGAGCATGGGTCTCTCTATAAATTGCACATGTGAACCAAACAGTGCAGCTGTGAGCATGAGGCGTATGGCTTGACCACTTCACCACGAAGACCCCTTTAGTGATTCACTTGCTGTAGTCTTTCCTCAACCAGTGGCACAGTTGCCATAATCTTTTATAAAAAAAATAACATAGCTGTAATCTGTTACCAAATGATAACACCGTTGCTATATTCTTTAATTCACTAGTGACATAGTTGTAATCTTTAATCCAGTAGTAAAATGGCTCATTTTATTGTTCAGGCCGGTGTTAATATAATGCATGATTTCTTCAGTGGTGGTGCTTTTGCTAGATGCTTACCTACTAGCCCAAACGTTTGTGGTTCGAATCAGGTTGACCCAGGCAAATACGGAGTAAAGGAGGCTGGTGTGGTCGTGATGTTATTATCACCCATCGAGCACCGATTGGTGTATATCAGGGATGTTAAAATTGCAACCCGTGAGCCAAATCTGGCCCAAAGAGGCTTGGTAAGCACCATGCGGATCATTGCCAGTTGTATTAATGATGTTTCTGTGCTGCTTTTCTGGCCTATGGCCCGTGACGATCACAATTTTCAAAATGGCCCCTGAGTCACTTAGCTGAAAAGCCTAGGTGTATATAAATATTAGCCTAGCATCATATGCCGACTGCGCCACTAGCGTCAAAAAGGGTCCTTTGCTTTACTTAGCAACAACATCAGTAATCTCTTCACCTCTACCAGATTTTGATTGTGCCTACATCAGCAGCTGGTATTGCCAGACAATTTCCTGACTTTGGGTGCATATATTTCCCCAGGCTGATGCCAGTGCTGATGTCAAAGTGACAGGTGTTAAAGTCAGTACTGTGGCTCTGCGGGCGGATGACATCAAAGTTTCCGGCAGGCAGTTGGTGGAGTGGTCTCAAGACTACATTGCTCCAGTTCAGATGTATGCTGGGATTCATGCAGCAAACTCAATCAAACTGCGAGTGCCTCCTTTAGGTGTGCTTTCATGTCTTGTAGATATGTGTTTTGTGCATGTGAAATAAAATTGGCATTAAAAGAAGACAGTAGCATCTTCTGCATCTGTGGTTAGTATGTTGTGGTTTACACCTGGGCTGCGTAGTCTTCGTCTTTCGGCCAAAGACATTTGATTTCAGCACAACCCTAATTAGTTGCCTTTCACTTCTTCTTCTTAGCGTTAACTAGCTGTCAACTCTGGCGGTACAAAGTTCTGGTTTTTCTTCCACTTCTGGACTTTGGTTCTGTTCCAGAACTTGAATGAGCATGCACATCCATTTCACAAACTTGGCTTATTTGTATGCAGACTGTTGGTTCCTTACTATTTAGGCAGATCCACTCCGACTTTGACAGAAACATCCCTTATCAGTTGCTTATATGACACGCTTGTTTGAAGGGGGTTGGGGGGGGGGGGGAGGATAGTGGGGCATTGAGTCTATCTTTTCCTTTAAAAAAATGTGACCCTTTTTAGAGGGTTGTGGCTCTATTCCTTGCCCCTTTCCCATCCCACAAAATGCGGACTCTTTAACCCATATGTGAAGCAGGCTCTTTAACCCATATGTGAAGCAGGCTCTTTAACCCATATGTGAAGCTGGCTCTTTAACCCATATGTGAAGCAGGCTCTTTAACCCATATGTGAAGCAGACTCTTTAACCCATATGTGAAGCAGGCTCTTTAACCCATATGTGAAGCAGGCTCTTTAACCCAAATGTGAAGCAGGCTCTTTAACCCATATGTGAAGCAGGCTCTTTAACCCATATGTGAAGCAGGCTCTTTAACCCATATGTGAAGCTGGCTCTTTAACCCATATGTGAAGCAGGCTCTTTAACCCATATGTGAAGCTGGCTCTTTAACCCATATGTGAAGCTGGCTCTTTAACCCATATGTGAAGCAGGCTCTTTAACCCAAATGTGAAGCAGGCTCTTTAACCCATATGTGAAGCAGGCTCTTTAACCCATATGTGAAGCAGGCTCTTTAACCCATATGTGAACCTGGCTCTTTAACCCATATGTGAAGCAGGCTCTTTAACCCATATGTGAAGCTGGCTCTTTAACCCATATGTGAAGCAGGCTCTTTAAACCCATATGTGAAGCAGGCACATCTATTAATAGCTGAAATTTGCTTTCTGGTCAGAGTTCAACGAATACCCTGGTTGGACAGAAAAATGAAGGGCCTCTGCTCCATTTAACAGATGAGAACTATAAACTGATAGAAAAGCTTTATAAAGGCAGTGATGGGTTTGCAGCATGTTATGGGGAGAAAATAAACTTGAAAGCTTTTTGACAGCTGGCAAACTTGGTAGGAAAATGTCAAAGAGGATGGCTTGGCCACATAATTGACAAGAGACATTTGAGCCTGTAAATACCAGCAATAATGTATGACACACCAAGGCTTGTACCAGATGCCTCTTCAAAACATGATGCTAAATGGCAGAACAGTCTAGAACAACGGTTCTCAACTTGCTGGTTGCTGGAATGATTTGACAGTAAACACAAACAACATAAACACTTTTTTTTTTCCTGTTTTTTAAATCAGAGAATAATGTGGCTTCCACTCGTGACTACGTGACAGCCAGAAACGACTATCCCCATGAGCCCAAGGAAAGCGACCAGGAAGATGAGAAGAGTGACAAGTTCGACAACTCCAGCAATCTGATTAAGGTCACTTGCTCAGACCTGGGCATGGAGGTTGCAGTCTCCAAGAAATTTTTTCAGGTGAGAAGTCTACTTTGTCTTCTTCTTCTTCTTCCTCTTCTTTGTGTCCTCTTTCACTGCTTCGGGCATCGAGGGAGTTTTAAAGTCCTGCTTCATGGACTTCTGGCTGCTTCCACCATAGACACGTGGTGCTGTAGAGTTTCTCTGATGTTATCTTCCTGTTTTGTTCTTGGTCTGCCTCTTGCTCTGCGCCTCTCTCCTTTTTTGGTATATGCCTTGTATTGTATAGTATCAAAAGGCATTCTGTCCAAGTGTGCAAGCCATTTGATTTGCTGTTTCATCAAATCCAAATTGCTTTCTGTTGATAAATTAACTCACTACAAGAACTGATTACTTGCATCAGAGGAAAATGTATATACTGATGATGCCATTTACAGCCTGATTAAAAGTCTGCTTGTCTTATCTCCTGTGCATTGAAAACCATTCAGATCTTCTGCCTGCTGCCTGCCGAATCAGTCTTTCAAGGTACGGATACTTTGTTCTGTTGCACTGTCTACTTGAATTTTCTCATTTTGTGTCCTTTCCAGCTCCGTCATCTTTTTCCCCCTCACCAGTTTATTCAGTCTGTTTGCTTCTCTCCCAGTTCTCCACATAAGTTATTATCTATGAGAACAATGCTCCACATGAGTGATTCTATATGAGAACAGTACTCCACATAAGTGAGCCTGTGTGAGAAATATAGTAAAAGTACCAACCCCAGCATTTGTGTGTGTGTGGATCTACACGCGTGTGTGCATGTGGGGTGGGGAATTTGTTGTTGCTTTTTGAATATCACCTCTCGATACCACTGTTGAAATCAACACATAGCAATCTACTGCCTAACTGCCCACAGTTGGAATTGAATTAGCACCTTAGAATTACGAAACATGTTTGCAATACCAAAGCGACATATGAGAAATTTGGTGATGTCAAAACAATGAGAAATGAGAGACCAGTGGGTAAATCTGAACGTTTGAAAGAAGTTGAAAACTGGAGTTTGTATGTCATTATAATGGAAATAGTGAAGGATTGAGAGGTAGAGAGAGGCCTGAAAGATGTTGTTGGGCAGTTTGGCATGGCATAGAAGACTATCAGTATCAGAAATGATTGTCAGGAGACCGGACGTAAGATTGCCTGCATCACACATCAAAAACTATTCAAAGAGAGCTTTTCATCTGATCTTCTTGACTTATTTTATTGTAATTTGATTTGTTTTATCATATCTTGCCACCATATCTGTAACAAGACTCACAGAGCATGCTGAGAAAGGTGGAGTAAGGCATGCTCCATGCAAAGTGGCGAGCATTGCCTTAGAGGTCCCTGATAGTTTAATTCCTTTGAACCTTGTCTCTGGGAATTGACGGTATGTGGGGAAATGAACAGGCAGACAAATTGGCCCTGTTTGTACCACTGGGTGGCCAATTGTTTCATGACAAGCTAGATCTGGTCAAAGCCTTTTAGCAACAAATGAACAATGCAGAACCACAAATAGATCATTACGGTCTGGAGAGACTGGTGCAGTGGGAAGTGACCAGGCAGTCTGGCCAACATTCAGAGGACAGGTAAGAGGGACATATAATCAAATCACTACTGGTACCATTGGCATTAAAGCTCTTTGCTGATTGCTGAAGATGGGGATGGAGCGCTTATGAGAATATCCTGAGTGCTGTAATGTCAGTTCCTAACTCAGCTGAAGTTGCTTCAAGTTTTTTGGTGCATTTGTGGAATGATGCATCCATACGTGTGACTTTTGTGTGTGTGTGACACTTGACTAAATTAGTCGGTGATGGATACTATTACTTCCACATCACTTCAGGTATACATGTGGTGATATTAGACATTACCTAGTCTTCATTTATTTCTGCAAAAATATAAAAAAATAAACTCTTTGTTTTGATTTATACTCATATAAAACACTGTCAAACCTGTGGTCCTATACTGCTCTGAAACCTGGAGCACAAATAAAAGCCTTATTACAAACTTTTGAGAATGGAGTGTTATGATGAATCTTTGGGCCCATCAACGATGCAAACAGTAGAAAGTTTTGTATTTTTGTTTAATCAATGGATCAACTTCATGGCACACAAGTGCAACCCATAATTGTTCCATTTTCCTTCTAACTCAAGTGATTCCGAAGAATCTCAGCGCAGTGCACGAACTCTCTTGCACCGGTGAGGATCCTGAAACACTTTGGGTAGATTTGTAACTCCAAATTGTGCCCGAGCAGCGCCGTTGGGCTACTCTTTTCGATTTCCAACGAGCAAGGGATTTTTTACGTGAGCAACAGTACACACAGGCGTCCGATCTTACCACCCAGAGACCAGGGGAAATTACTAGAAATGCTTGAACTCGGGACCTCCAGCACTTGAGGCGGACGCCATCCCCCAAGACCACTCAAACCCCTAAACAGAGGAGAGTGAGAAGTAATAACAAAATTAATAATCTGGCTAAATCAGCAATAATTACAGGTATCATGGGGCATAAAAACTGCAAAGGTTGCGACACACAGGCATAACAGCAGATAACAGAAAAAACAGAAACTATGTACACAGAAGAGTTGAACATGAGTCGACCATGAGGCAGACCAAGAAGATTGTGGGGAGATAATATTCAGACAGACCTACAAACACTTGGAGTTGCCTGCTAGAAAGAGAAGGCCAGTCACACAGATGAATGGAGACAGATGATATCTGCAGCAAAGAACTTCAAGGGCTGTGAATGTTTTAGTAATTGAAGATGAGTGACTTCAACATTTATCATGTCACCCATCATTCATTATCGTCATCCCGTGTTGTTGGGTCACCAGTTTCTGTTGACTGTCTGATCAGCTCTCTCCACCTTTGGCAGTCAGTTGCGATGGACTTATGGTTGCATATGGAGGCCTGTCCAGTCAGTCAGGTTCTGTAACCAGGTCTTTCTTGGTTTGCCTCTTCTCCACTTCCTCTACTTAACCCTGCCGTATTGTTTTTGAGAGGCCGTTAGATTTTATTACAAGTCCATACCGTTGCATTTTTTGTCTTTTTACTGTAGTTAAAAGAGGTTCACAGTTGCCAATGTGCTGTATAATTTTATGGAGAACCTCTTCGTTTGTAATTTGGTCTCTGTATGATATGCCAAAAATTTTTCTGACACATTGCAGTTCTAGTGCCTTTAATTTCAAGTTCAGCTGTTAAGTTTCACAGCCAAATGTATATGTACTAATAGCTAGTACTTTGAGCAACCGAATCTTAGTTTTGCATGAAATGTTTTAGAATCTTCATAATGTTGCTGATGTTGTCTGGTCGGTCCTAGACATGATTTCTGGTCTTGACCCCCCCCAAGTCACTTAAAATGGATCCGAAGTATTTGAAATGAGTCAATTGTTCTAATTTGTGGCCTTTAGCATAGTTTGGTGAAATTCTGCCAGCTGGATTATTAGTCATTACTTTTGTTTTTTCTGTGTTTATTTCCATGCCATACTTGGTTGATGTTTAATTAAGTCGATTTACAAGTTCAACTAGTTCTTGTTTTTCTCTGGCCAACCCATCGATGTCATCTGCAAACCTTAAGTTAGTTATGCCCATCATTGCCTGCTGGCTTTTAAAAATGTGGATTTGGCACCATTTTGTCCAGTACAGTTCAAGGTGTGGAAACAGTTCATTACTTGCTGATATACCTGAACCTGCTTATCCTGGCTGTTATATATGTAATAAACAAACAGATAATGTATTGATCTACACTCATAGAAAGATGTAGAAAGATAAGACACACTTAACAATATAAAAATCTAAAGCTATAGTTGCCGAGCCAAGGATCGAACTTGTCACCTCCAAAAGGTGTGTGCACCTTGCTATGGAAGCAAATTTACTAAGAACATGACCAACTAGGTGCTCTTAGTTTCAATAATTTTTCTATGGCCTCAAGGGTTCCTCCTCTGTTTATTTATCCTGGCTGGCCATTCAACTATCAGAAATGGGCCATCTGTGGACAGGAGACACATCATCAATGCCATAAGAGAGAGCAAACACTGAGAGGCTTTCTGTTTCATAGAAAATGATTTTTCATGGAATAGACTGCATATCTTGGGTGTACCAGTTGGAGCAGCGAGACAGGAAAACCTGCGGGAGCCTAGCGTCATTACATCAGCCAGAATAGAATGGGTGTTGTTAGCCTAAAATCACTTGGAGACATACTCAGGAGGAGATCGGAGCACTTAAGGTCCTGTCTGATGGGCAATGAAGATGATCTGTCAATGAACATTGAGCAATGTTTATCCAGTTTTGTGTTTTCTTATGTGTTCTTCAATAGGTCACGGGGCTTGACAAGACCACACTGAGTTTGAGAGATGTATCTTGTGGGCCTACTGCTGAAACTGATGACTACATAATTCTCTGCACTGAGCTGACTCGCTGTGGGACTCAGTCTCACAGTTTAGATAACATCACCTCCTATACCAATGTTGTAAGTGCTAAAGTTTTGTTGTTGTTGATTATTTTAACTATTTATTTGTATTGTAAAGTGTTTGTCTATCAGTCAGTTCAGGTGCCATCTCCCCAGTGAAGGTTGGCTGCAGTGAAGCTTATGTACTCTCTCTTGTCTTGGTAGTACACTCTTCCAGACTGCCTTTTCTCCATCTGTTGTGGTTTTCCTCCCACTTGTATCGTTGTCTGTGGGTAGTAGCAAGGAGGTGTAAAATTTATTTTAAAAAGAAATAGATTAGAACAATGGTACTGAAATGACATATATTTATAATGACTAAATTGGTTTGGTCGCTCCCTGGCGGAGCCGGACTATTTTCAAAAATGACCTTGGCTCCAAGGTCGACCCAGCCTTGAGTGGGTACCGGTTGTAGTCCCGGGAAGTAGAGGCGGCCGGCGTGATGCTGACCACATCACCCATCTTGTGCCGATTGGTCTATACAAATAAAGGTCTAACCCTATATGCCCTATGCGCCTAAAGGCATGGATAAGGGTCCTTTACTTTTTTTTTTTTTATTGGTTTGGCCATCAGGCAGTTTTGCCTGCTACTAACTACCGCAGAAAACCATAATGAAGAAATCTAATGAACACAGACAAATGGAAGAGCACATAAAAGTGGAAGTATTGGCATCAAGAACAACCTAAGATAGATGTAAATCACCAGTACCCATTTTTTGAGACAGGGCTACCTGAAGAAATAGAACCCAACAACTGCATCTTGGGATTGAACATATTTTCACCACTGTGGTGATAAGCCAGTGCACTAACATTTGATTAGTAAGTGAATACGCTAAACCTTGTGTAAGTAAGCCAGGGCGCTAACTGTTGTGTTAGTAAGCCAGTGCATTACTCGTTACATTACTTATCAAGTGCACTCAACATTGTGTTAGTAAGCCAGTGCACTATCCATCACATTAGTACTTAAGTGCACCAACATTTGTGTTAGTAAGCAAGTGCACTAACCACTGTTAGTAAGCCAGGATGCTAAACATTGTTTTAGTATGCTAGTGCAGTATTTTGTTAGTAAGCCAATATACTAAACATTATTTTAGACAGCCAATACACTAACGGTTGTGCAAATAAGCCAGTGTACTAAACATTATGATAGTAAACCAATGCACTAACCATTGTATCAGTAAGCCAGTGCACTATCCATTACATTGTTTGTCAAGTGCACTAAACATTGTTCTAGTAAGTCAGTGCACTAACCAGTGTGTTAGTAAGCCAGTGCACTAACCACTGATTATTAAGCCAGTGCACTAACCACACTGTTAGAAGGCCAGTTGGCAAGCCAAAAGCCAATACATCCACCACTCTGGTAATAACCCAGGTGGCTAACCATTATGCTAGCAAACAAATGTATTAATTAGTTTAAAAAGTGCACTCACCAGAATGTTAGTAATCCACTGCATTAACCATTATGTTGCTATGTTAGTGCGTTAACTGTTACTTTGGTAGGCCAAGGCCCAGATTCTACTGCTTTGATAAGCCAGTGCACGGATCAGTAATAACCCAATCTCCACGGAGAAGTTAAGAAAGAAACCAATTGAGTGCATTGTGATTCCCTGTAGTGTCTGTAAAGCAGAGTGTAACAGTTCTGTTCTCTGTTGCTGACAGGTGATGGTTCAGACTCCGGCTAGCATGGTTAGCACCATCTTACAAGATGAACTCGGCAGTGGGTTTCTGGATGAGGATACCAGTTCTGGTTCTCGTGATCTCAGTCTGGTGATGGATGATGAAGATTACAGGTCAAATCCAGTTAGCATCCCTGTGGAGTGCAAGATGTCAGCAACGGTCACAAACCAGGTTGGTCACATCTGAGTGTTTATTGACATCTGTGGTGTTGCTTTGTCACTAGAGGCAAGAATGAGAATTGTCAAGAGCTGTATAAATTGTATCCTGATATATGGAAGTGAATCATGGACAATTAATGAAAAATTATATGGAAGTGGGGAAGATGTAGTTTTATAGATGAATTAAAAGAACACATTAGATAAATAATAGAGTAGTGAAGATCTTGACAAAAACTGACCCGTGAAGAGAACTGATTTGCTGCATCAGAAGGAGACATTCTACATTCTTTGTTCTTGTTATGAGAAGAAGAAAACAGGAGTACATCATGGTGGTGGGAAAGATGAAGGGGAAAAAATGTAGAGGGAGGCCATAAGAGGTTTGAACTATCGAGCATGTATGTATGTGATTTAACCCTACCAGGACCACACAAATGACCAACTGTCGTATGGCAGTTTTGTCGCGCACCTTCACTAACGGAATATTTTCACAAATCCCTCAGGTGCTCTGAGACAGGAGTGTTTTGAATGGTGGCTCTCGTTCGTCTAGAGGCCTAACCCTCTGTTCAAACTTTCCATTCAACCTGTCTCAGGGATGAGGTGACACGAGCTCTGACTCCACAGGGTTATTATGAACACTTGGGTACCTCTCGGCCAGACGTCCTCACCACTTTGCCCCCAGACTGGTATCAATGTAAACCCAGTCGAACAAGTAATCAACAGTGAATTTGACAAGTTAGGACTACCTTTCTGAATAAGACAATGAATTCCAATAAAACGAAACTTTTCTAATAACCAGAAGACTGATGAACTAACACATTATTGTAATGAATTCACCATAACAAGGTTGACGAAAAGTAGCGTGAAGAATTCAAAAGGAAGGTTCAAATCATTGAAAATCTAACACTATAGAAAGAGTCCTTCTACATAGACACTTCAACTTCCTGGATCATCATGGCGGAGGCGGAGAACTGATTACAAAGGCCCATTTGGAATCGAGCCATGTTAGAAGTGTCACTTTGACTTATCTGATTAGATCTCGCAGCTCCCCAGGATGCCGGAATGGAGTTTCACACTGCCGTACTTTACAGCACGACTTCACAGGAACGAAGCAGCTTCTCAGGATGCCGGAATGGAGTTTCACACTGCCGTGCTTCACAACACGACTTCACAGGAACGAAGCAGCTTCTAGCATAGATCAAGGACAATCACTCGAGAGCGGAATATGTCGACTCAAGCATCGTCCACACATTCAACACAGCAATTCACCACACGTCAATTGCTTATTGGGTGGTGACAGGTGGAACCACTCAGTCAGACACAGACGTTTGTTGGATCTTCAGAAATCCTGAAAAACGCAAAGCAACACCCATGAGCGAACCGTACCCAACGTACCTAGTTAATCAAGGTCCTTACCCCCTCCCAATGCTCAGATATACTTGAGGTTATTCCAAACCATGAAGGTTGGTTACCTCTATCTTGGAATCCATTTAGTTTCCCAGAGAGAGCACTAGATCATTAACTCGAATAGTTCCTGGATTCAGTCCTGTAGCAACGGCTAGACAGATCTCCATTATTTACCCTCCCTTCTAAAATACCTTTTCCACTAATAGGGAAAATAAGGGATAGGCGATGAAGTCAAACTAAGATCGACTGAAATATTCTCCGAAAATTGTACGACAGTCTAAGCTTGTTGTGGTTACGAAGTCTCCTAGCAACAGCGGATATGACGTCATGCCCGCCCAGAAGCTCCTTGTCATTCACAACGGTTCAGCGACTCACCAAGTTCTGATACCGAATAACAGCAAATAACTAATCATACAAAGTTAACAATACCCCAAACCCACTCCAGATAGGTGGATTGATTGATCCGAAGAGGTTTAGAAGGCCATTTCGAAGAATTCTCCGAGAAATGTCAGCCAAAAGTGCATTCCAATCCAGAGCGCCGTCTTCCATCGCAAGAATCGTGGACAAACAGATTCGCATTATCAATCTGCTGACCTTACTTACCCACACCACAGACACTTTGAACACAAATATTCAATTAAAAGCCCCTATGAAAACTCACCCATGATAAATGAAAAGAGAATAAAGAATCTTGTCTTTTTAACGGTCAATTGGCAACACCAAAGGAAAGCGACTGCCTCGAAGACCGGACCATAGAGAAGTGACGCATAAAAATACGTTCCCCAACTACAGCAGTTAGCGTACGAATCCCGCTCACGAATGCAGTGCAGTGGTCAGACAATTTATTTAGAATAGGCGTAGAAAATGTGTCCTAACGTGTAATTCGACACTAAAAGCCTAAAAGAGTCAATATCATAGTGATTTATAGGGATTTTTCCTATTTAGACCCCCCCCCCCCCCCCCCCCCCTTCCACAACAAACGAACTATACAACTATGCTCGGCCTATCCTAATTCATAGTTACAATGACGATTTTGGGGGTGTTCAGACTGTGGACCTGCCTACTGCGGTAGATGTGTGGATTCTGTCATGCGACACCAACACCCAGTGACACAAAGTGCCACCCTATGGATAAGGATCATCTGGGCACAAATCCCAGAAACCCTGGCATAAGCCATGGTGTGGCTTCAAAATAACTTAAAAATTGCATCCCACAAGGGGATGACAAGAGACCATAAGAGAAGATATTAGAAAGTTTGACATGGCATAGATGATCATTTGTGAAATAATTGACTGAAAGTATACATGACATAAAGTTGTGGACACACGTGACTACAAACACCACATGGCATGGACTAGGGAAGATCAGTATGTCAGAGTTGATTGAAAGTACACAAGACAGAAGGTTATAGACATCACTACTAACACTGCAAAGCCTTTTGTTCATTGTTTGTTTTAGAGATCATCTTCATCGCACATCAGACATGACCATAAGTGCTCTGATCTTTTCCTGAGTATGTCTTCGAGTGTTAAGGCTGTCAACTCCTATTCTATTCTGGTTGATGTAATGACGAGTGGCTCCCGCATGGTTTTTCTGTCTCGCAGCTCCAGTTGGTACACTCAGGGTATGCAGTTTATTCTGTGAAAATATTTCCACGAAACTGAAAGCCTAACAGCGATTAGTCTCTCATATGGCGTGATGATGTCTCTCCTTTCCATAGAGGGCCCATTTCTGATCATCCCACTGCCAGCCAGAGCATCTGCTCTCTCATTGCCTTTCACACCAGCATAGCCTGGTACAAAAATAAAGGTGATGTGACAAAACACAGCTTTATCATGAAGAAGCCACTATCATGCCCTGATTTATCTGGAAAGAATATCATGATAGAAAAAACAAATGAGTCAGTACTTCTCAGGGCAGAAGAAAACTGTAAAGTGACTAGAGAAATAAGACCTAGGCAGTTCATGTGTGTTTTATATGCTCGAGAACTTAGTTACAGCTGGCTAGATTGCTGGAAAAAGAGCCAGGAGAATGCAAAAAGATAGATTACTTTGTTATACGAATAGGGTAAAGCAAGAGTTCTGACCTGATTGGGATTCTGGTGATTATGTGAAACATGACCACCTACACGTATCTACAGAGAATACGATGATGTGGACTTGTCTGTGTAGTCCTATAAAGTTTGTCTTTATAAAAAAAATCATTAGAGACAACAGAAGAGACAACAAGACAGCTTAGCTTAAGTTAGTTGAGAGGCATCATTAGGGCTAATAAATTGCAATGGGTAATGGACAAAGAGAAAATGACAGAGAGGAAAGACAAAAATTGCGTACACAACAGTTGAATAGGAGTAGACCAAGTGGGGGTGGAAAGGTAATATACAAGCATAATTTCAAACACTTGGAATCACCAATTGAAAAGAAAAGGACGAATTATTTGTCAATCATGATTATGTGAAGCTGACTTATCCTACTTCTTGTTTGGATTGTTATTTTCTAATGTAGTAAATTCTTGATTTTCCCTCTCAGTCATCAGATGCCTTGAATAGCAATAGTGTCCCTATCGGCCAGTACTGCAGAGGAAAGCAGCCACAGGCACCAGCTCGTTGCAGTCTCAACCTCTACACAAGTAGCACTTTCCTGCTGCCAAAGCAAGAGTTCCCAGTCTCTATCAGCAAAAACAGCACTGTTTTCTTGAAGGCTGAAGTTGGTAAGTCTGGATTTAAAAAAAATTTAAATAACTGTGTCGTCTCCACAGCGGTTGGCTGGCCATTGTCTCAACCGCTGAACAATGAAATATTGCGTGGTTAGGCCCCAATTTTATCCACAGTGTGACTATCGTACCACTGTTTCCCTTGGAAATTTGGGGGCCCCATTGTTAGAAAAGACACCCCCCCCCCCCCCCCCCCCAACAAGCATGTCATGAGTTGACTAATTAGAGATGTTTGCATCTAAGTCTGAGTGCCTCTGTTTGAGAGACAAGGAACCAACAGTCTGCAGTCAATTAAGCCAGATCTGTAAAATGGATTTGAATGCAAAACTAAAGCCCAGAAGTGAAGGAACCAGAACTTTCTGCGGAAGTATATAGCAAGTGTTTAGAAGCATGGATGTGCATGGAAAACTCAAGTTCTGGAACATGGCCAAAGTCCAGGAGTGGTCAAATAACCAGAACTTTCCACTAGAACTGGTGAATGCTGCTAAGAAGGAGAAGAATATGGCAACATAAACTTAAAGAAAAAATAAATTTATTCTTTTTTTTTTTTTTTTTTGGCTTTTCTTTTTATACCTATTAAATGACTATTGTTTTGTGGTTTGAAGCTAAAAAGCTGTGTCAGAAAACAACAGATCACGCACAGTTTAAAAATAATAATTAAAAAATACCAGTTGCCTTGAACTCTTAAGTTGTGGGTTCATTTCACTGACTGCCTGATTAAGTTCACAGATACAGATCATCAGTGGAGCTGCGGCATTTGTTCTTTGTGCAGTGCCCGTGGCAGGTGACCAGCTGTTCTGCAGTGAAAGGCTAAGTCTTTTGGGATAAAGACTGGTGCTATTAAGTTAATCCTCTCAACTTTAAACATTTGTTATGAGAAGTTACCATTGCTGTTCATTACCGTCATATTCTGTGTTTCTGGCAGATCAAGAAAGGACTGTACTTGTCAACTCCTGCTGGTTCTCCTCGTCTCGTGTCCCAGAGGATCAGAGTGCAGAGGTCAGAGTTATCATAAACCAAGGGTAAGTGAGCTAGGACACACATGGTAAAAGAAATATTCTTCTTCTTCTGCCCTGTACCCCCAGTGGAGCCTGGGTCCTCAACCAGCTCAGAGAAATGAAATGAATACGGGAACTGCAGCTCTCCGGAGGCTAGAGAATAAGATGCACACATGTCATAATTGTAACTGACTCTGAAGGCATGCTGAGAATGGTAAAGACAGGGATGCTTCGAGCAGAGTGGCAAGCTTTACTGAAAAGGTCATGGATAGTGAGCATACTTTGGATCTTTTCTCCAGGCCATGACGGCATAGTGGGTAATGAACAGGCAGATAGATTAGCTGAAGCTGCACCACTGAGCGGTGAAATGATACATGACAAGGCAGATGGGGTCAGGGCCCTTTGGGAACAAGTAACAGAATTAGAAGAGAAACAAGATGGCCTGGAGAGAATGAGACACTTGGGTGTCACCAGAGGCTCTGGCTGGCTCACTACACTCAGAGGAAAGGCAAGGTGGATAATATAACCAGATTGTGATCAGTACCATCAGTATTGGAACTGTGCTGGCTGTTGAAGATGTAGACGGAGCACAAATGGGAATGCATTGGGTGCTGTGATGTCAATTTTTGACTCAACCCTGCTCACAGATTGAATGCCACTAGGTCTATAAAAATATAGTTCTAGTAAAATTCTGGTACTAACGATGTTGATGAGGGAGGCCAAAGCTGCTTGACTGGATTCCATCCATGATGTTGAATTGGTCACACAGGATAGAAAGAAGAATTAGACTGTGAGCCCTGTGTAATAGGCAATGGCACAACAGCACAATGATGATTATATTATGGAGCCGCTGTGGTATGGTGGCTAAACATTCAGCTGCGAATCTGAGGGTTGTATGTTCAACTCCAAATTGAACAAGCTTTTTCCCTTTCAAAAATGAGCTTGGCTGCCAGGTCGACCCAGCCTGAAATGGGTACCAGGGAGGTAAAAGTGGCCAGCATGATGTTGGCCACAACACCCACCAAGCACCAATTGGTTTGAAAATAGAGGTCTAGCACTATATACACAATACACTTGAAGGCATGGAAAAGGGTGCTTTCACTATATACCAGATGTGCCAAAGACATGAAAAGGGTCCTTTACTTATTTCTTTTGGGTTCCAGTGTCAGAATGCTTGGCAGCTGATCCACTGGCCCTGTATGAAAGAGAAGTGTATGGCGTCATTATTCTTGTTTTGTAGAAATCCATGCAGTCAGCTTCTTTTTCGGCTTCTTCTACTTCTTTGGACTTTTTAACTTCTTCTTCGCCTTTCTCTTTCACTTTTTTTTTGGGGGGGGGCTTCTTTTTTGGCAGTCAGACATAAACAGGTCTGCTTGGAAGTAAAGGACCCTTTTTACACCAGCGGTGCATTGAGCACACCCACATTGGTGGGTGATGTGGCCATTGTCAGACCAGCTTTCTTTACTTCCCAGGACATTACTTAGTACCCATTTAAGGATGGCTGGATCTGGAATGAATGAACAAGTAGCACTTTCCGAGTTTACAGCTGGTAATCAATTTGGGCTAGGTTTACCTGGTATCCAAGGTTGCTTATGAAAATTGGTCGTGATGCAGATTCAAACATAAGACCATCAAGTGGGCAGGCAAAGGATGTAATGATTACTTACATCTTCTTTTGCCCTCTCTGTTCTAAACGTTTTTGTGTGTTTTTAAATAAGAGTGGTTATATAGTTCTTTTCTGTGTCACAGCTGTAGGAGAGATAATTCTGTGGTTTGGATTGATGAGCTGTTGGATGTGGCCGGGAGAGCTAACCTCAGGTACACCAGATTCAGAGTGACAGTTATGGACTGGTTTAGGAGCCATTCATCAGTGTATCTTCACTGTCAGCTGTTTACATGTCAGAAGACTAACAGAGGACAGCCAGACCAGGTAGGGTGTCTACTTTGTGTAGTCTACAGGTAATTTTGTTTGAAACATAGGTGTTTGCTGCTGCTGCTGCTGTTTCTTCTTCTTCATATGCTGCTGCTGTTGTTTCTTCTTCTTCCTATGCTGCTGCTGTTGCTGTTTCTTCTTCTTCCTATGCTGCTGCTACTGTTTCTTCTTCTTCCCATGCTGCTGCTGTTGCTGTTTCTTCTTATTCCTATGCTGCTGCTGCTGTTTCTTCTTCTTCCTATGCTGCTGTTGCTGTTTCTTCTTCTTCCTATGCTGCTGCTGTTTCTTCTTCTCCCTATGTTGCTGCTGTTGTTTTTTCTTCTTTCTATGCTTCTGCTGTTGCTGTTTCTTCTTCTTCCTATGCTTCTGCTGCTGTTTCTTCTTCTTCCTATGCTGCTGCTACTGTTTCTTCTTCTTCCTATACTGCTGCTGTTTCTTCTTCTTCCTATGCTGCTGCTGCTGTTTCTTCTTTTTCCTATGCTGATGCAGCTGTTTCTTCTTCTTCCTATGCTGCTGCTACTGTTTCTTCTTCTTCCTATGCCATTGCTGTTTCTTCTTCTTTCTATGCTGCTGTTGCTGTTTCTTCTTCTTCCTATGCTGCTGCTGTTTCTTCTTCTTCCTATGCTGCTGCTACTGTTTCTTCTTTTTCCTACGCTGGTGCTGCTGTTTCTTTTTCTTCCTATGCTGCTGCTGTTGCTGTTTCCTCTTCTTCCTATGCTGCTGCTGCTGTTTCTTCTTCTTCCTATACTGCTGCTGCTGTTTCTTCGTCTTCCTATGCTGCTGCTACTGTTTCTTCTTCTTTCTGTGCTGCTGCTACTGTTTCTTCTTCTTCCTATGCTGCTGCTGTTTCTTCTTCTTCCTATGCTGCTGCTGCTGCTGTTTCTTCTTCTTCCTATGCTGCTGCTGTTTCTTCTTTTTCCTATGCTGCTGCTGCTGTTTCTTCTTCTTCCTATGCTGCTGCTGTTTCTTCTTCTTCCTATGCTGCTGCTGTTGCTGTTTCTTCTTCTTCCTATGCTGCTGCTGTTGCTGTTTCTTCTTCTTCCTATGCTGCTGCCATTGCTGTTTCTTCTTCTTCCTATGCTGCTGCTACTGTTTCTTCTTCTTCCTATGCTGTTGCTGTTTCTTCTTCTTCCTATGCTGTTGCTGTTTCTTCTTCTTCCCATGCTGCTGTTTCTTCTTCTTCCTATGCTGCTGCTACTGTTTCTTCTTCTTCCTATGCTGCTGCTGTTTCTTCTTCTTCCTATGCTGCTGCTGTTTCTTCTTTTTCCTATGCTGCTGCTACTGTTTCTTCTTCTTCCTGTGCTGGTGCTGCTGCTGTTTCTTCTTCTTCCTATGCTGCTGCTGCTGTTTCTTCTTCTTCCTATGCTGCTGCTGTTTCTTCTTCTTCCTGTTTGGTGATTGTTTCCCATGTTGCCAGACTTGTGTGAGATCACACATTGCCGTGAAGGAGAAGCAGGTCTGCTGAATTCTTGTGCAGCTGAGTTTTTTTCAGTGTCCTGATGGAAGCTTGCCAGTTGAATGTCTCTCTTCTTGGCATAACATCCACTAGCATTACACTTTTCTTGTCCCAAGAGACAGTGATTGTGATGTTTCCAGATAAAGGAGTTGACTTGAATTTCTTTCTTTATACTCATTGCAGATAAAACCACACCAATAACCGTCTTTTTGTCACATTTTGAAAAGGATGTGCCCAAGTTTCAATGCTGTAAAGATCTTTGCCAAAAGTTCTCTGCATCAGCATTGAAAAGCTTCAGCAATTCAGAGGAAATCACTTTCTTTTGAATTTGATGGTCGTTAGACTTTGAGGAATCCATCTTGTGCAAGCCTTAGAAAATCCTAGAGTTGTATAATTGCATTTGCACTTTTATTGCTGATTGCCAGCTGTAAGGCCAATTGTTGTAGTGATTTGCCTATCAGTGAAAATAATGCCATCAGCACATTTAAACCCTTCTGCCTTGGTAGTGGGGGCAGGACATCTTCAGCACGCCCAGTCAAGCAGCTCCTTATCTCCACTCCCCCATTTTTTTTGGGTTCTCTCAACCCAGGGACTGACTGTACTCCTGTGGACTGAAGAACTTCCATACACATCACATAGCTTCTTGTGAATGTTCACAACACTTTTCTTCTCTGCAACAAGAAATTCTGTCACAATTTTATACTTATATTGCAGGTTGCTAAAATGTTCCATTTCACTGGTTTTGGGCAGTCATTTTATTTGACAGGTTGTTGTGCGATTTGGCACATGCCCTACTTGAAATATGCAAAATGTCATGCTTCTCTCTTTATTATTAGCTGAGAAAATCAGTGTGGTCCATTACTTTTTTGAACACCACTCAAAGGTTGATATTGTCTGTGAAGTTAATTGTTTATATAATTTGGTATAAATGTTGGTTATTAAGATTAAGTTAGTGTAGAAGGTAGTTATTGAAAATAAGCTGGTATAGATTTTGTTTATTTATATAAGTTGGTATGGAAGTCGATTATCAAGTTAAGTGGTATAATCTATGAAGTGGGTCTTAGATTATTTTAATATTAGATACCAGAGTTGATTTACTTGGTGAAAAAAAGACAACAGTTTAATCAGACAAAATTGTATGTTGTCTTTCAGTGTCATGTCAACATAAATAGCCAGTGCCGCCAGTTCAGACCAGATCCGGTGAATGACAAACTAGTGAAGCCTGCTATTGACTCCAGCTGTGGTACACTGACGGTTGGCCCCTTGGATCTGACGGACAAGGAGGTTCTCGTAAAACCCATGCCAGGTCAGTCTGGCTGTAGACAACTCTCAGTTTGCTTTTATTTTTGACACTTGTTTAACTCTTTTAGTACCAGAAGACTTTGTTTCAAATGCTTATGGAGGTAATAAGGCTTCTTGTAGCCAGCTAATGTTTTGGGAAGTAAAGGCAGCTTTTTTTATACTGGCCATAAGACACAATAAGTAATAATTGGACTTTAAAAAATGAGATAGCACCATATATCTTTATCACCCATTGCCTTTTAGTGTGTGAACAATGGTCCTTTGTTTAGATACCATTCACACAGAGTATGTGATTTTCTGCTAGCCACACTGCAGGGACAGTATCTGCTATGGGATGGTCCTTCAGTCAGTCAATCAGGTGCCACCTCTACCTTGAAGGTTGGCTGTAATGGATCTCCAACATGCCCTTTCTCTTGTCCTGATTGTACACTCTCTCACACTGCTGCCTGTTTATCTCTTTATATTGTCCTCCTACTTGTATCATTGCCTACCTCTTGCTCTCTTGCCTTTGACCTTTCCCTATGGTTTTTAAAAGCGTGTTGTGTGTTTTAATGTGGCCAAAGTACTTCAGTTGTTTCTTTTTTATTACCTTCAGTCATTATCTTTTAATTTGTAGTCTTTTCAGAACCTCTGTATTGGACTGTTTTTGTTTACATAAAATATAGACTATTCTTCTGTATACCCAGTTTTACAGGGACTCAGTTTCGATTTTCTAGTTGCTTGATCATTGTCCAGGTTTCTTCATCATATAGCAGGATTGGGTATACATAACATTTGACAGTTCTCATTTTTAGCATATTGTTTATTACTCTTGCTGTCAGTAATTTTCATAAATTTACCTGATTTCTAGATAAGTTTATTCCCCAGTTTGATAGGAACAGTTGCAGTATCTTTGTTGTACTCATCCACAAGGGTTTTTGTCATAAGTTTATTCCCCAGTTTGATAGGGACAGTTGCAGTATCTTTGTTGTGCTCATCTACAGGTGTTTTTGTCATAAGTTTATTCCCTAGTTTGATAAGGTCAGTTACATTATCTTTGTTGTACTCATCCACAGGTGATTTTGTCATAAGTTTATTCCCCAGTTTGATAGGGACAGTTGCAGTATCTTTTTTTAAAACTCATCCACAGGATTGTCATAAGTTTATTCCGCAGTTTGATAGGAACAGTTGCAGTATCTTTGTTGTACTCATCCACAGGTGTTTTTGTCACCAAGACTGACAGTAGCCAGGAAGTATTGAGTCACGGACACCAGCAGAGAATCATCATTGAAGGCTTGGACTCTGCCACAGTTGTGGGCATTGCTTTTGCTGCATTTGTTATTGGCATTATCCTCATGGGAGCCTTGTGGTTTATCCACACACATACAGGTAATGTACGAGGTTGTCAGGTGAACAATTGTGGAAAGTGGAAGTTCAATCTGGTACTAGGCTTAGACCTTTGAATGTCTAGCTTTGTTTTTGTTTTTTTATATTCACACACATACAAGTAAAATGTGGTGTTGTCAAGTCAGAGGCAGCAGAAATTAAACTTAAAGAGATTCACAGATAATAGGCAGATAGAAACTGTGGACAAAAAAGCATTTAACAGGAGTAGACCACAAAGTAGAACGAGCATACAGCAGATAGATAATATTTAGGGAAGTCTACAAACTCTTGGGGTCACCAAAATGATATGCAGGCAAGTCTACAACTCTTGGAGTCGCCAAGATAATATACAGGCAAGTCTACAAACTCTTGGAGTCGCCAAGATAATATAAAGGCAAGTCTACAAACTCTTGGGGTTGCCAAGATCATATTCAGGCAAGTCTACACACTTTTTAAGTCACCAAGATAATATACAGGCAAGTCTACAAACTCTTGGAGTCACCAAGATCATATTCAGGCAAGTCTACAAACTCTTGGAGTCACCAAGATCATATTCAGGCAAGTCTACAAACTCTTAGAGTCACCAGGATAATATACAGGCAAGTCTACAAACTCTTGGAGTCACCAAGATCATATTCAGGCAAGTCTACAAACTCTTGGAGTCACCACGATAATATTCAGGCAAGTCTACAAACTCTTGGAGTCACCAAGATAATATTCAGGCAAGTCTACAAACTCTTGGAGTCACCAGGATAATATACAAGCAAGTCTACAAACTCTTAGAGTCGTCAAGATAATATACAGGCAAGTCTACAAACTCTTGGGGTTGCCAAGATCATATTCAGGCAAGTCTACACACTTTTTAAGTCACCAAGATAATATACAGGCAAGTCTACAAACTCTTGGAGTCACCAAGATTATATTCAGGCAAGTCTACAAACTCTTGGAGTCACCAGGATAATATACAGGCAAGTCTACAAACTCTTGGAGTCACCAGGATAATATACAGGCAAGTCTACAAACTCTTGGAGTACCAAGATAATATACAAGCAAGTCTACAAACTCTTGGAGTCACCAGGATAATATACAGGCAAGTCTACAAACTCTTGGAGTACCAAGATAATATACAGGCAAGTCTACACACTCTTGGAGTCACCAAGATAATATACAGGCAAGTCTACAAACTCTTGGGGTTGCCAAGATCATATTCAGGCAAGTCTACACACTCATTGAGTCACCAAGATAATATTCAGGCAAGTCTACAAACTCTTGGAGTCACCAAGATCATATTCAGGCAAGTCTACAAACTCTTGGAGTACCAAGATAATATACAAGCAAGTCTACAAACTCTTGGAGTCACCAGGATAATATACAGGCAAGTCTACAAACTCTTGGAGTACCAAGATAATATACAAGCAAGTCTACAAACTCTTGGAGTCACCAGGATAATATACAGGCAAGTCTACAAACTCTTGGAGTACCAAGATAATATACAGGCAAGTCTACACACTCTTGGAGTCACCAAGATAATATACAGGCAAGTCTACAAACTCTTGGGGTTGCCAAGATCATATTCAGGCAAGTCTACACACTCATAGAGTCACCAAGATAATATTCAGGCAAGTCTACAAACTCTTGGAGTCACCAAGATCATATTCAGGCAAGTCTACAAACTCTTGGAGTACCAAGATAATATACAAGCAAGTCTACAAACTCTTGGAGTCACCAGGATAATATACAGGCAAGTCTACAAACTCTTGGAGTACCAAGATAATATACAGGCAAGTCTACACACTCTTGGAGTCACCAAGATAATATACAGGCAAGTCTACAAACTCTTGGGGTTGCCAAGATCATATTCAGGCAAGTCTACACACTCATAGAGTCACCAAGATAATATTCAGGCAAGTCTACAAACTCTTGGAGTCACCAAGATCATATTCAGGCAAGTCTACAAACTCTTGGAGTCACCAAGATCATATTCAGGCAAGTCTACAAACTCTTGGAGTCACCAGGATAATATACAAGCAAGTCTACAAACTCTTGAAGTCACCAAGATAATATTCAGGCAAGTCTACAAACTCTTGGAGTCACCAGGATAATATACAGGCAAGTCTACAAACTCTTGGAGTCACCAAGATCATATTCAGGCAAGTCTACAAACTCTTGGAGTCACCAAGATCATATTCAGGCAAGTCTACAAACTCTTGGAGTCACCAAGATAATATTCAGGCAAGTCTACAAACTCTTGGAGTCACCAGGATAATATACAGGCAAGTCTACAAACTCTTGGAGTCACCAAGATAATATACAGCCAAGTCTACAAACTCTTGGGGTCGCCAAGATCATATTCAGGGAAGTCTACAAACTCTTGGGGTCGCCAAGATAATATTCAGGCAAGTCTACAAACTCTTAGAGTCACCAGGATAATATACAGGCAAGTCTACAAACTCTTGGAGTCACCAAGATCATATTCAGGCAAGTCTACAAACTCTTGGAGTCACCAAGATAATATTCAGGCAAGTCTACAAACTCTTGGAGTCACCAAGATAATATTCAGGCAAGTCTACAAACTCTTGGAGTCACCAGGATAATATACAGGCAAGTCTACAAACTCTTGGAGTCACCAAGAAATATACAGGCAAGTCTACAAACTCTTGGGGTTGCCAAGATCATATTCAGGCAAGTCTACACACTCTTGGAGTCACCAAGATAATATACAGGCAAGTCTACAAACTCTTGGAGTCACCAAGATAATATACAGCCAAGTCTACAAACTCTTGGGGTCGCCAAGATCATATTCAGGCAAGTCTACAAACTCTTGGGGTCGCCAAGATAATATTCAGGCAAGTCTACAAACTCTTAGAGTCACCAGGATAATATACAGGCAAGTCTACAAACTCTTGGAGTCACCAAGATCATATTGAGGCAAGTCTACAAACTCTTGGAGTCACCAAGATAATATTCAGGCAAGTCTACAAACTCTTGGAGTCACCAAGATAATATTCAGGCAAGTCTACAAACTCTTGGAGTCACCAAGAAATATACAGGCAAGTCTACAAACTCTTGGGGTTGCCAAGATCATATTCAGGCAAGTCTACACACTCTTGGAGTCACCAAGATAATATACAGGCAAGTCTACAAACTCTTGGAGTCACCAAGATCATATTCAGGCAAGTCTACAAACTCTTGGAGTCACCAAGATCATATACAGGCAAGTCTACAAACTCTTGGAGTCACCAGGATAATATACAGGCAAGTCTACAAACTCTTGGAGTCACCAGGATAATATACAGGCAAGTCTAAAAACTCTTGGAGTCACCAGGATAATATACAGGCAAGTCTACAAACTCTTGGAGTCACCAGGATAATATACAGGCAAGTCTACAAACTCTTGGAGTCACCAGGATAATATACAGGCAAGTCTACAAACTCTTGGAGTCACCAAGATAATATACAGGCAAGTCTACAAACTCTTGGGGTCGCCAAGATCATATTCAGGCAAGTCTACACACTCTTGGAGTCACCAAGATAATATACAGGCAAGTCTACAAACTCTTGGGGTCGCCAAGATCATATTCAGGGAAGTCTACAAACTCTTGGGGTCGCCAAGATAATATTCAGGCAAGTTTAAGCATGCATCTTCCCTGTAACAACATACAGATGTGAGTTGTAGACCAGCTCATGATCAAGGAAGACAACGGAGGCCTTTGAGCTGAAATGCTACAGAACGATTCTTAAAAACCATGGATTCTTCTGGCAGAAAGTTTTGGTTGTTCGTCCACTTCTGAACTTCAGTCTTGTTCCGGAACTGGAATTTTGTGAGTACATCCATTTTACCCATCTGCTTATTTGTATGCAGACTGTTGGTTCCTTGCCTCTCAGGCAGATGCGCCTCGACTTCAGAGGGAGAATCTCTAATTCATCGACTTTTACAACATGCTTGATAGGGAGGCAGTGGGTCCAATTCTTTTCTCTGCCCCCTCCCCCACCCCTTCCAAAATGTTGGTCCCGGAACCCGCGCAGGGATACCATTGATTAAAAAGAAGAGAATACCATGGACAGACTGAAAAATGAACACAGCCATCATTCAAGTAACAGATAAAAACTGTGAAATGATTAGGGAAATTGTACTTGGGCAGATATTTTGGGGCTTATCAGAAGTAGAAATGAGCTTGAAAACAGTGATAACAGGTGAACTTAAGCAGAAAACACTGGAAGGACAAAGATGAATACATTTATGGCTGGTCATTGGGCGCAGTTAGGATAACGACAGACATAATGTGCCAGTAATGATTATGTGGGATAGTGATCCATGACCAGCCTTGCATATGACCAAGTGTTGTGATTTAGATGCTTGTCAAACTAGTGACCGAGTGTTTAGGAGTTGATGATATCTTGAGGCCCACTTGATTCACATACTAGGAAGACCGTTGGAACACAAATAACATACTTTATTCCTCATGCCAAACAGCAACGAAAGGATTATAAAGGAAATGCTTGTCGCTCTCAGTTACAAAATAAACATTCGAGCAAAAGCTCACCAAACATTCTTATAAGACGTCCCTGCTATGTGGCTTCACACTCCCAGTGCTGGAACTTTGGTGTGCGACCGAAATACCTCCAAGTACAAAGGCTGAATACCAAGTCACAAGTCTGTGGCTGATAACTGGCGACGTTACATAGAACGACACAAGCAAAACTCTCTGAATACATCACTCAATAAATACAGGCACTAACAACAATTCTCTGTCAACTACTTGGAGAGCTGTAACCCACAAGGTTGGCATCGGCACTAACTTGGAATGCCTATCAATCTCCACAACTTGGAGATAATGACCTGCAACTGCACACACAATGCAAGTGGATCTAGAACTCACATCTATATCTCAACCGTTTCTGTTCATGGTGCATTTAAAAAAAAAATTCTGTATACCTCAGACAACAGCATAATACTGCGCTGTATAGAAGTCACGGTGATAAACCTGTTCAATCCAGAACAATGCCGACAGAAAAAAATGGGTCATGACCGTGTGTTTGCCCAGGTAAAATAGGTAGTTACTTTTGAATGTAGTTGATTTTATTTTTCAGTTAGGATTCATTTATATGCTTCATTTTAATCAATTGTTACTGTAATTTGCTCCTGGTGAGGTTCAGGGAATAAATTGTGCCGTCTGTTATTTGTCTTCATTGTTCAAATTTGACATGTTTCTTCCAGGCCCAAAGAAACGTGTGGTGACCTCTCCCAGAGAACCTGAAGCCAGCGGGGACAACACGCCAAATTCTTTGTCTCCAGTAGCGACTTAAATCTTTGGTTACCAAGAAACGAATCAGCAGTTGATGTATAACTATTTTAGCTGTCCTCTGCTGTTGAAAGAATTAAGTAATTGAGCACACTGTCTGGTACTGATCAACATCTTCATTACATACAGCAACTTAGAGAAGTTTTGGCAACTTGCACAGATTTAATACTGTCTTCATGAATAGACACAAGGAAGCGGAATAACTCTTGTTTCCATCAACTTCTAGATAAATTACAACATTTCGCATGTTGTATCATGGGATCCTTCTTTGCATATTTGCATTTCGTAACATCATCATTACTAGAAGAATTCAGAAGAGGTTATGAAGTGAGTTTACAGTCTCATCACTACAATGAATTTCATGTGAAATATTATCTTTGTTGGAGGCTTTGTCTTCTTTGACAAGGCCCACCCAATACTTTGATAGTGTTGTGATCATCAGGACCACTGAAGTCTTGAAGCAGGACTTTCTGAACATCGTGCCACAATGGCAACTTAGAGGAACCAGCAGCATCTAGGATTGTTTGGTTGGAGACAAGAGAAGCAGTTTGCCTGACTGCTGTTTTTTTTTTTTTAAAGTTCTTCAGAAAACAATCGATGGCTTATTGCTCTTTACATCTAACATTGAGCTGACTATTGTGCTTTCACTTGAAGCACAGATGCAGATGGATCGGGAATCAAAAAGATGCTTCCTGGTTAAGCTTTTATGTCATTCGTGGTGTAAACAATTGACATTTGGATGTCTGTGTGAATCATTTTATGGTGAAGACTTGACATCTAGATGTCAGTATTCATCATTTTCTGGTGAAAAATGTATACATCCGAATGTCTCTCTTCACTGCTTCATGGTGTAGAAATGACATCCGGATGTCTGTATTTATCATTTCATGGTGAAGAACTGACAGTTGGATGTAGTCTTCATTCCATAATGAAGAACTGACATCCAGATATCTGTATTCATCATTGTGTGGCAAAGAATTGATACTCGGATGTCTGCATTTATCATTTACATTCGATTACAGTATTCATCATTTCATGGTGAAGAATGTACATCCAGTTCTCTGCTTTGATCGGAACCATAAAAACAAACAAAAAGACAGTGAAGTGTACACAGGGGACAACATTACAAATAAAAACAATTTATTTCAAGTGAGCGAAAAGAAGGAGAGGAACTATACATCTTTTTGTGGTGATAAATTTACATTTGAATTACTGTTTTTCACCATTTAGCCATGAATAATGGACAACTGGATTATTGTATTCAACTGTTGTTGTTGTTAGGCAACAATGGAGGATGTTTCTGTTACCTTGACTTCATTGAATACATTTTTTCGACACAACAGTCACATCTAGTCTACAGAGGTGGCATGGCAGCTAGCGATAATACTGCTTGATGATCTTTTACCGAAAGCATTGTTGTGTTTCATGTGTGTTTTGAATCTCAGCTCCCAAAGCATAATTTGGTCGTTTTGTTTTCAGAAATGTATTTATCACGTGCCTGTTGGCAGTTTTATTTTGTAACATGTTTTTTTTTTTTTAGTTGTAAAATGTGTAACATGATTATAATATTGGTTACCTTTTCTGAAAACTACTGTCAGATAAACTGGAATTTTTTTTTTTTAGACTGTTAACATAAGCTTTTTTTTTTTTTGTCAACAGAAATTCTTTTTTTGTCTTTTTTTTTTTTTTTTTTTGGGTCTTTTTTTCTTAAGATGATCTGGGTTGAAGATATGGATCTGTTAATTTACAAAATATTAATTATATTTTAATCAGCTCTTATATTTAACTAGCAAAATAAGGAATTGGTTGATTGGTGCCTGTGTTATCTTAAAACTTGCATCCTCTTTCAGAAATGAGATGTATAGGTTACCCGTATATGAAGCATTGTATGATGTAATCATTAGACATTTGGCTCAACATATAATGATTATAGGAAGTTGCCAGCATTTGGTTGTAGCCATTATCCAGTGCACAGAAAATATGAATTTATATTTTTTTTTAGTTAAATTATTTCATCTCTTTTGCCCAAGTGGCTTTAAATAGTTCGATTGATTTCATCCCTTGTGCCTAAATGGCTCAGAACAGTTAAATTGATTTTATCTAATATGCCTAAGTGGCTCAAAACTGTTTAATTGATTTCATCTCTTGTGCCTAATTGGCTCAGAAGAGTTAAATTGATTTTATCTAATATGCCTAAGTGGCTCAAAACTGTTTAATTGATTTCATCTCTTGTGCCCAGGTGGCTTAAAACAGTTAAATTTATTTCACATAATATGCCTTAATGGCTCAAAACAGTTAATTTGATTTAATCTCATGTGCCTAAATGACTTAAAATAGATAAATTGATTTAATCTTTAAGGAGATGAATGGCTTAAAGCAGTTACCTTTATTTAATCTTTTGGGAGAAATATGGCTTTAAATTATCAAATTTATTAAATATTTTGGGAGATAAATGGTCTAAAACTTTATTTATAGTTGTTAATTTTTTTTTTTTTTTTAATCTGCCCTTTTTTTAAATGGCACAAGAAATGCCAAGGATCAGACATAAGCAGCCGAAGATTTCTAATCATCAGAAATCCACCCACAAAGAAAGTGCCTTGACAAATTCTGTTTTGGCACCCAGTGATTGAAGGAAAAGATCAGATCTGATCGACAGTTCAGAAGTCTTGTTGCTTGTTTTTATATATTTTTTTTAAGAACCTTTAAAATGTAATTTATTTCTTAAGATTGCTTAAATCTGTTTATCTAGATTCCACATCTTAGAAGAAAGTGTTTATTATTAGTTTAATTTCATTACCACACTACAAAGATGATCTAAGTGGTTTTCTTTGGGTTGTTGTTTGTTCAGTTGATTGTGGACAGTGTTCATTGTTTATCTTGTGTTCAGAGACAGTAATGTTTATTAATATAATATGTTTTCAGTTGCATTTCACGAAGGTGATTAACTTTGTTTTATATTGGTTGTCTGACTTACAAGTGTCCTTTGAGTTTACATTTGTTAACATAAGCTTTTTTTTATGTTCTATTTGTTAACAAAAACATTTTGTGTGTGTGTGGTAAACATGAACATGTCCCCCCCCCCCCCCCCCCCCCCCCCCCCCCCCCCCCCCCCCCCCCAATCTTCTGTATGTTTGTAGTTCCAATTCTTAAATCCATTTGCCCTTTTTATTTATGTTAATTATGTTGCCCCCTCCCCCCCCCCCTTTTTTTTTTTTAAAACATGACCCTAAATCAGTAACCACTGAGCTACTTGATATCACCATGTTCTAGGGCTGGGATATTCAATTAAGTTTATTCTTTGGCCAACATTTTAAAACTGGGTGTCGTCGCAGGCCACAGATCTGAGCCTGAGCCTAGATAGATTATTCATACAATACAACTGGCAGTGATCCGAGGGCCACTTGCTAAGCCTCTGCGGGCCAGATTTGGTCCTCGGGCCGCTAGTTAAATAGCCTTGTTCTAGGGCAGCAGTGCGGCCATAATGCATACAGATGTGTGACATCCCAACCACAATACAGGCCAGTAAAGACAGGCAGAGAGTCATCTGGGCAGGAGAATAAACACAACTTCTCTCCATGTTTCTTGAAGCAGAATTGAACTGCAAGATGAGATATAGTCTGGTGTAAACATGGCAGAATAGCGCCAGAAATTAACATTAACAGTACTATTGTCAGTGCAAGGCAGAACTAGGCCAGGTGTTAGTAGTTATAGAAAGTTTGTCAGTGCAAGGCATCAGATTAGCAAAACAAGGCAAGGGATTTGCAGTTTCAGAAGTTAGGCAAGTTATTTCAAGGATAAAGCATCATAGTGGCAAATCGAGGCAAAAAGTAATCGGTTTTGACAGAGCTAGGCAAGTTAGTGTGAAGATAAGGCATCACATTAGAAAAACAAGCCAACACTGGCATAAGGTTAGTTGCGTATCCTTTACAGAACGTTGCAGAACCAACCCTGTTGTTTTTCTAGGCAAAGTTACCTCCAGTAGTTTGCCATAACACTGGCATAATAAACCTGTGTTTGAACATCATAAGGCAAATAGAACATGTTTTGCTTCATAGTTCTCAGGAAGTTAGGTGTAGTTATTCTAGTATTCAAGTAACGCTTTTGAAGAGCTGTACTTTGGAATAAACTAGATCTTGTAATATTTTATGTTTGATTTAGAGTTTAGAAGATGTGAGTTTTGTCCTTTTATAATGATACATTTTTTTTTTTAATTCTTGAAGATAGCTGCTTTCATTAGTAATCAAGACTAGTTTGTATTTGGGGGATTTGTGACAGTTTTTGTGTGTGTTGTTGAAACAAAGAACAGAAATTTTATATTTGCTTTAATGTGACACAGTTTTAACTTTATTTTTTTAGATGCCTTGTTATTTATAACATAAAACAAATAAATATGTCAGAGACACAATAAACAAATTTGCAGGACATCAGGAGCCTCTCTTGGCTGTGGTGAAACATGGCAAGCTAACTTGGTTCAAGTACATGGCGAGACATGATTCAGTTGCGAATACTTTTTTTTTTTTTACTTCAAGGAATATGGGGGTAGTCGAAGAAGAGGAGGGCAAAGAAGAAACTGGAATCGCAACATCAAGAAATGGACAGGACTTAGTAATAATACACTTTTTCAGCAAGCGGAAGACGAGAAAGATGGAGAGTTTTGTATGTCAGTGCTTCCATTGATACACCTCCACAACCCTTTTGGGTCAAGGGTTATGTTATCTTATACGCCTTGTACCAGACTCTGATAGGAATATAAAATCATGCTGAGACCAAAGTCAGTCTGAGAAGAAGATTTAAAGATAATATTGTAGAGCTAGACACAGTTGAAAAAGTAATTTTAAAAAAAATTTTTAAAGAAAGAAAAAGTTCTCAGTGTAACTAGGAATTTTGCTTAGTTGAAGTTGTTTCTGTATGCCTTGTAACAGACTATCAGGAAAAGGAAGATACCAAAGACAATTTGAACAAGAAGCTGTGAAGAGAATGTCAGGGAGTTGAACACAGTTTGTC